AGTAGTAAACATAGTAGTAAGAGTCATAGTAATAAGATTAGTAGTAATAGTAGTAAACATAGTAGTAAGAGTCATAGTAATAAGATTAGTAGTAATAATAGTAGTAGTAGGCGCTACAGTAGCAATAGTTATAGTCATAGTGGTAATAGTTCTAGTCATAGTAGTAGTAATGGTAATAATAGTAGTACAGCAACTAATCTTAATAGCCTTTCTTTTATTAGAGCATAGAGCGCAAGTGTTTCCCCATCTCTCTAATTCTCTATTTCTAGAGGATCCCAAACATCGCTGTGAAAATCGTGAGTTTCGCAACGCACCTTGAAGACTTTTCAGATTTCTTATCAATACATATATTAGTCTTTCTACACCTCCTCTAACTAGAGCCTTAGCTCAAAGTTAACTATGGAACCTAAGCTTTCTCTATGAAACATTCATTAAAGCATAACCTTTGACTATTGTATTCTAGAAATTATATCATATTTAGATTTTAGTCTCTAGCTAATTATTGATTAAAATTAATATTCGATGACGTTTTTGGGCAAAATGCGACAACAGGTTGTAAATTTTAAAGGAAACTAAATTCGCAAATATGTTGCCAATGCTGCAAAATGGAAATCAAAAGCTCAATGAAATCAACAACAACAGCAATAACAACAGCAGGGGCATGGGCAGGGGCCGGGGCAGGGGCAGGGGCAGCAGCAACGCCTGTCAATTAACACATTAAACGCGCAGCAGAAAAACGAAAATACGAAAAATACGCAAAACTGAGCCGAAAAGCAAACAAGGCCAACAACATCGACAGTGGGCAACGATTAGAAGCATAGAATTTCGTAATGGAGCACTTAGCGCCCCAAAACAAACCAAATAAACCCCCGACGAGCCATGTAGAGTCAGAGCGGTCTGGAGTCTGCACTAAAGCTTAGGAACTGCAGCACTGGAGCCGGCTGGCTGGCCGGCTGGCGGGAGAAGTTGTAAACGCTCGCTAGGTAGGTAGGAGGGAGCAGAAGTCGGGGAAGGCGGCTGCATCAAAGCACTAATGTTTGACCCAGTTTGAAGCGCTGCAGGAAAGGAACTGCGCATAACTATTTGGCGTTTTGATCATTAAAAACTGGTTGGCCCAAACAGAGGCAGCGACAAAGCCAGCGCGACGCCCATGCCAATAGCATGAGCTTTTTTTTTGTCGGACGCACAGCTCGAGGCTTTAAAAGCGCCAACGCCGCCGGTCAGCGCAAGAGTTTTAATATTTGATTAACGCGAAGCGCGCGCGACTAACGGAATAGCGGAACAGCATAGTCACACTCATAGTCATAGTCATGGCAAATCGGCATTGGAATTGCAATCGGGCACTGCTCCTGCTGCAGCTGATCGCCGGCATCTGGGCCTTTCCGGACGGTGCTCCAGCCGACACGTGCGTCAAGCAGCGCGCCAATCAGCCCAATCATGGCAAGGCGCGCACCCAACCGGCGCACACGAATCCGTTCGAGGTGGTCGCCAGCTCGCAGACCTACCATCCCGGCCAGGAAGTCTCTGTGGTCATCTATGCCCAGGAGCTGCATCAGTCCACCACGTTTCGTGGGTTCTTTCTGCAGGCGCGCGATGCCAACTCGAACGAATGGATTGGCGAATGGGTGCAGAGCGAGAACACCAAGACCATACCCGAGTGCTCGGCCATAACGCATTCGGATAACCGGGATAAGCTGGGCGCCAAGCTCATATGGAAGGCGCCCCAAAATAAGCGAGGCAACGTCTACTTCACGTAAGTAGAAAGGATCCGTTCGAAGCCGCCGATGATGTGGCTCTGGGCTAATGCTCAACTGAAGCTCTTTGGGCTCCATCGTCATCGTCGTCAGCATTGTCAACGACAGAGGGCCAGCTCATTAATCATACGCCGCATTGACCCACAAAGCGAATGCGCACATAATTGCCAGCAAAATGCCGGATAATCAAAGAAAAGGCCTTATGTAATTGATTTGTTCAAGCGAAGAGGCGAACGAAAAAAAATAGGAGAAAATGCTGCGAGTGAAGCCAAAGAGTTGCAACAAAAAGACGCTGACAATGACGTCGGCAAAATGTTGTTGATGTTTCTCACTCACATGCAACACACAATAGCAACACTCTGCTGCATGGCAAGTATGTGTGTGTGTGTGTGTGTGTGTGTGTGTGTGTGGGTGTGTGTGTGTGTGTGTAAGTGTGTATGTGGGTGGGTCAGCCATGACAGCTTATCATTTATCACTTGACATACGCATAATGTGGCAAATGATAAATAAATTATGTATATGTCAGCACTGGAAAGGCCTACGACTAACTTCTTATCTTTGATAAATTGTCGCAGAGGCCAAGAAAAATCTGTAGCACAGTGTTGGCATTCAGCTTCTGATCGTTGATTATTAATAGCAATAATCATGTAATTAACAAATTAATTAAAGTCAAACCATTCGCACTGCTGTAGCGCAGTGTTGGAAAGTCTTTTGAAAATCTCTGGCCAAAACTGTTTGTTGACTCATCTAGCTGTGACTATTTGTAGCGTGTGGCTTAATTGAAAACTTGTTTCACACATTACAACATATTCTCTCATATACGACTTCTCATTGCAGCGGCACTGTGCTGAAAGACTACGGCAATTTCTGGAGCGATATTGTGGGCAAGGTGCAAGCGCAACCGCTACCGCAATAGGCTGCAACAACTGGAATACAATTCTAGAATTGTACATTAAATGTTGCAATAAATCATAAACACTTAATATAGTACACAACGACAAAATACTTGCTTGTTTTTCCTTATTTTTATTATTTTTTTTAGTGCAAGCCTCATTAAAGACCAAAACGGGCCAAGCCCCTTGCCAAACAACACTAAATTATTGGCTTTACGTTTATGAATGACCACTCACTCACACACATTGACTACTTACTGCCTACACACACTCTCACACTCACACTTGCATGCACAGTCGTATCGCTTGCTCTCGCACACACACGCATACACACACAAACACTTAAGCAGGCACGAATAGGCACACGTTTAAATTTCCAGGCACGTTGCCTGCATCTTATTGGAATTTCGCTTTGCCATCGGCTTGTTGGAACTAAATTGGAAAACTGAAGCAGTTCACAGGCGTTCTAAATCAATGGATGAATGAATGATAAAGTAATTAGAGCAGTTGAGACTTGTGTGGCATAAATAAAATTTCAACCACTTCAAGTCTGAGAAAGTTATTATTTCCGGTAACGATATCATCGAATCAGTAAGATAAGAACTTAGAAGCACTCAGCTATAATCTCTGTGCATATGTACAT